TCTCCTTAAATAGGAGGTTTTGGACTACTATACCACGCTGGCCAGACGGGTTGGTGACCCTGGGTGGTGACGGATGGTTGTCCTGCGTAGTTATTTCTATGCACTATTCCCTAGTTATTCCTATTTCCTATTCACTAATATGGGAGACATTTTGCTATTTTTTTGATAATTTTAGTTCAATTTTAGTAGGAGGTTGCTATTGGGATATTTATTTATTTATATATTTCATCTTCTTTTTTTCATCTCTTTAATAAGACAACGCCCGCATTAGGAATATATTCGTATGTCGCGGGGGACTTTACAAACATACATGAAACGGACACAAGAAACACCTAGACTCAGAACAACAATTTGTGGATCACACAAAGTGTCGTCCCATGTGGGGTTTAACCCACAACACTCGACGTAGTAGGAAGCGGCGTGGCGACTACTTAAACCACTACGCCATCCGTGCAGTCGCTACTTTAATGTAAGTGGGACTAATATCAGCAAATTGTAGGCCTTACGGTTCTGCCTACCTCTCCAACTCTATAGGCGTGAGTAGTGTATGTCTGTACGTATGTACTCTATTAAACACAAAACATAACGTTTAATGTTGGCTTTCAATAATAATAATATAGGAATAATATATATTATTATGTGAACAATATACGGCGAATAGCATAGTATGTTTGATAATAATATTACCTTCGTCACAGCAATCTACTAATTTGTACTAATAATTGTCTTACTTGTATGCCTATTTTTCACTAACAATAGTAAACTGCTTCAAGTCATTAAGATTTTGTAAACAAATTTTATACTGTAACATGGAATCTAAATTGATGTTTTCAGAAAACTAGGCCAAGCGCACAATCCGTCACGTTAAGAATACGAAGTGTCACTACCCCTATTCCTCCTGTGGGTGTCGTAAGAGTCGACTAAGGGAGCAAACTACGCAGGACAACAGTACTGGAGAAAAAAGAAAAACTTGATACAAACCCTTTACCAACTCGCCTGACCAGCGTAGTATAGTAAGCCAAAACCGCCTTTCTAAGGAGAGGCCTATGTCCAGCAGTGGACTAGTAAAGGCTGTTGATGATGTTGAAAGATTTGACTAAGATTTAATAAAGTAATAAATAAAACAAACTTAAAGTAATCTTATTAACTATCTGATTATTCAGTTAATAAGTACGTGAAAATATTCAAAAATGAAATCGTCAATGCAATTAACATATCGATTGCCGAGTTGCTATGCAAGAATCGAATTAAAAAACAAACAGTTATCGTAGGTTACACTATCGATTTACAGCCAATTAATAACTGGAAATATTTATAGTTTTCATAAATGTTATCTTCAAATATATCATGAGTTTACTAAATTATTCGTGAAATAAAAATAAAACATCGATTGTACAATAACATTCGTGGTTGTGACTCAACATATCAAATTTGACGGGTTTGTTGGTCTAGTGGTTAGTGCCCCTGACTGCTAAGCTAGAGGTCGTGGGTTCGATTCCCACCCAGGACAAATATTGTGTGATGAGCATGATCATTTGTTCTGTGTCTGGGTGTCATTTATCTATAAAATGTACGTATTTAAAAATATATAAGTATGTTTATCAGCAGTCTGGTCACCATAGCACAGGCTCTGCCTAGTTTGGGATCAGAAGGCCGTGTGTGAAATGTGTGAGGCTATATTATTATTTTTATTAAATTTTTCGCTTGCATGTGACTCTTTTCGTACCCAAAACAGTTTTAAGAATGGATTTGGGTCAAATCGCATTGTGCCAAGATTAGCTAAATCTCTGTTACGGTACCAATCTATCTTATAGGACACTGTTTGCGGCTGATTTACATATTAAACTGGTATAGACCAAGTTTTGAATCATCTTTGTCAAAACTCAAAAGGGAAAAGTTTAAGGAAAGCCTTTAGGGTTAGTGATCGCCTCTACAGTATTTTAGAACCGTGGACCCTTTTTGGAACAGCTCATCTATGACCTCAATTATATCCAGTAACGGTCACAGAATTTCATTTAATGTTTAGACAGTTTAATTCAAATTTTATTGTTAAATCGTCTGAGGTGTGTTTCACTTTCAAAGCTCTATCCGAGAGGGAGTTACGGAGAATCATGCAGCAATCAGGATACTGGCGTCTTTAACTATAGCTATCCTAGCTATCAGAAGAAGTAATAGCATCAGAAGAATTTATAAAAACATTTTGGATCTTGATGTAATATGAATGGGATGCAGACATGCGATCAAAATGACTGACATATAATGTATAGCAAATGACAGTGAATGGGAAAAGACGATTTTCTAGATATTTCTTTTATACTAACTGCATTATTTCTTTGTTATTATGATAAATGACGTACTTAAATACAACCGTCCATTCATTATTTTACCTCGTTAAGCGTAAAATTTCCAAAAATCCTTTCTTGGATGATTAAAACATAAAAATCATCAGCTGACATAATTTCAAGTTTGTAGCCCCAGCGGCAGTCAGGGTTAGGAATATTACATGTAGGTTAACCAGACAATAACTTAAACATACATTGAAGATTCACACTCAAGCTTAAATTTATAATTGATAGACAATACCAGCTGTTATGCTTAACATCTTTATTTTATTAAATTGTTTGCAAGACATATTTTCAATTCAAAATAATGAAGTCTGCATATCTGTCTAGATTGACTGTCTAAGCAGTGTAGAAGCGTCGAAGTCAATAGCGTCCAACCGTTGGTCACTAAATTTCTTTTAACTATCGCTGTGTGTCACCTTTGTTGTGAATGTATCTAAAATGCTCGATTTGCACGCACTCCAAGGTAATTAAGTTATTAAGTTGGCCCGTTTATTTGAGTTGTTTTGTTTTATCCATCCATATATCTTTACAATCTATATATATATATATATATATATATATATATATATATATATATATATATATATATATATATGAGATTTCCACGTATATAGTCACTCATCACGATATCTCTAGAACCATTAGAGCTAAAGACTTGAAATTTGGTAGGAATATTCTTTTCACCGAGTAGAGGTCAGCTAAGAACGGATTTTAAGAAATTAAAAAAATAATAATAATAATAATGTAAATAGCAAAACAACGTTTGCAGGGTCAGCTAGTTATTTATATAATCATTTCATATTTTCAAACACGCTGCCATTATTTATGCATACACAATTGACTGAACGGATGGCGTAGTGGTTTAAGCGGTCGCCACGCCTCCTCCTATTGCGCTGAGTGTTGTGGGTTCAAACCCCACATGGGACAACACTTTGTGTGATCCACAAATTGTGTTCTTCTGAGTTTGGGTGTGCTTTGTGTCCGTTTCATGTATGATTGTAAAGTCCCCCGCGACACACTGATAGTAAGTAGTCTCTTCGAGAGCTACAATTACAGGGGTGTAGGGAGTTTAGGCCTCAGGAAATCTTACTCAATAAAAAGCAATGATAGAATTGCATAACAATGGTTTTCTGTTAGGTGGTAATATCTCCGGTCGAGCTGGCCCATTTGTGGCAAAGCACCTAGAGCGGGTTGTTTTTTAAAAAGAAAGAAAAAAAAACAATTACACACTAAATAATCTTACGTTCCGACATTCGTAATAATATAACATACAGACGCGGTAATGTCTTTATGACCGTAATACATATCTTGGTTATAAATAAATTGATTAAGATTTAATTTTAATTAAATCTGAATCAATTTATTACTAATTAATTAATTACGTGTTTTAACACGTAATTAATTAATTCATCGTCTACTCAGATTGCCTTACAGATTTTCACATTATAATTTAATAATTATATTTAATAATATTTTAACACAGCCACACAAAGCTATCTTATCCCAAACTAAGCAGAGCTTACTATGGCTACTAGACAACTGATATAAATACATTTATACTTTTTTTTTCGTAAATACATACATATTATACATAGAAACACCCAGACCAATTCAAACATTAAATGTTCATGCACACAAATGTTTGACTTGAGCGGGAATCGGACCCGCGACCATTGGAATAGCAGTCTGTTACACAAACCACTACGCCATCCAGTCGTCAATAGGCATATAAAATAACTTTTAGAGGTACCATTGAAATATTTGAAAAATAAATGTCAAAGTAAATGATTTAGCTTTATAACATAATTGTTTCTTGTTTCTTGTTTTTAAAAAGACAACTCCCGCACTAGGAATAAATCCTGTGTCGCGGGCGACTTTACAAACATACATGAAACAGACACAAAGTACACCCAGACTCAGAACAACAATTTGTGGATCACACAAAGTGTTATTCCATGTGGGGTTTGAACCCACAACACTCGGCGTAATAGGAAGCGGCGTGGCGACCGCTTAAACCACTACGCCATCCGTGCAGTCAGTCCGTAAAGTCAATTAACTTTATAAAGAATGTCACTCATTACAATGCCCTTAATTCATGATAAGTAAGCATGATCCATTTTATCCCCTTTATTGAATGTGGTGTGTTTTCTTTTAATTTGAATTTATGTTTTGTTTTATCTATTTGAGAAACTTTTATTTGTTTACATCGGTAAATAATAATATAATAAGGATTTATTTCGGCCCAAATAGAATTAATAACTAAATAGCCAGCAGGCATGGGACAAAATCACAGTGAACTGTGATTCATCATTCGAATTTTGCGTACGTAGGTTAGGGTTACTAGGTAGGTTAGACGCTATTTGACAGGAAATCTAGTATTTTTTAAACTATTATGTAGAGAATGGTAGCTGTACATAATACATTAATTACTAAATTTACTGTTAAATAGGCGAAATAGGGTCTTCGTGCATCGTCTTAAAACAGTAGTAACCCTAACCTACGTACGAAGAAATCGAATTATAAATCACCGGTCTTTCACAGTTCACTGTGATTTTGTCTCATGCCTGTCAGTGTAAGTAGAAACGTGTAAAAATAATGTTCATAACGTTATTAATTGTACGCGAAAAGATGAGATAAGATGAATCTCTTCCACAGGTTATGGCCGATTCAGCCGCAACGCCCTCGGCGCTTGTGCTTTCGCGTTCTTGGCGTCTGGTGTACAGAACTGCATCATGTCTTATGTACTGCCTGCGGCACGATGCGAGCTCACGCTCACGACCTACCAGTCTGGATTGATCAACATGGCTTTTATGAGTGGTGAGTGATTTCTTTTTTTAGTTTATTCCTTTATATTTAGAAAAAGATAACTCCAACACTAGGATTATCCTGTGGAATTAATGAAACGGACACAAAGAACACCCAGACTCAGAGCAACAATTGATGGTTCACACAAAGTTTTGTCCCATGTGGGGATCTAACCCACAACACACAGTAGGAAGCGGTGAGATCACCGATGAAACCGTAGTGGTTTCAAATTGTGTTCTTCTGAGTCTGGGTGTGTTTTGTGTCCGTTTCATGTATGTTTGTAAAGTCCCCCGCGACACACTGATAGTAAGTAGTCTCTTCGAGAGCTACAATTACAGGGGTGTAGGGAGTTTAGGCCTCAGGAAATCTTACTCAATAAAAAGCAATGATCGAATTGCATAACAATGGTTTTCGGCCATCCGTGTAGTTACTACTGCTGAAAGAGATAAAAAACTTCCTTATTCTCAACTTAAAAGTGCTTATCGCCAATGTAGTGGGGAAGGAAATTTCACAGTAATTGCCACATAGCACAGGAATATAGGATAACGCAAAATATTATTGTTTCATGTAATGTTTGATTTTTTTTTCGTTTTCGAAAGGAGAATGCCCGTATCTCATACATTGTTTGGCCCAAATTATTATGAATTTCTTACAAGCTCCAAATTAGTCTCATTAGGTAGGTGAATATATGAACTTTAGACTGCCATTGTTTCAGTTTGATTGACAATTGCATAATCAAGAAATGTGACCTCGAATGTACAGTAGGTTACGTTGTTTGCGAAATATTTATTGCTTAAAGAAGTAAAGTAGTAACTCAGTCTGCCGTTGAACAAAAAAAAAAAGCCGTGTGGTGTCGTGGGACACCCGATAGGAACGAAGTTGTAACGATCGAGTAAAACTGATTCGGCACATTTTAATTACAACGCCATCTATGAAAGCGGCTATTACCTACATATTTTTCAGTTGGATTCTAATTAAAACAATTTATACATTGGTAAAATCTCCTTGAGAAATGATTTCCTATCTATTCGATAGATGGCGCTGAATGACTGACATAAAAAGATAGAAATGAAAATATCTGGCTTGCTTTCTATAAGAGAGAGAGAGAGAGACAGACAGAGAAACATGCGACGCCGCACAGCTTACAATAGCTTACTATAGCAAAAAGTGTCGTGACCAATTTTCGTAAGAATTTTTTCCGTCTAGCCCCCTTTCACAACGCGCGATAAGGAACTTCGTTCCAAAACACTAGAATGCCAGAAATGCAATACAGGAATAGAAAACTTGAAAATAAATTCACTTGAACATTTTTAGCGGCATTTCCAATATTGACATTTATACTTTGACACTGATGTTGACAGACAGACTGAAACATTGCTCTTTTATTTATTTCATATCGAAACGTATGAACTTGAAAGATATAGAAACATTTTTAATAAGCAACTCTAAATGAAAATCATTCCTTGTGTTTTTGTATTTAAATTAAATAGCAGTATTTTATTCTAGCTCCTTTCAAAATAATATTTTTTCTGACAACGTTTCCAAAAGAAGGCAATTGGCTTCCTCTTATTATTTGAGATAAATTAATTCTAACTTGAACTGGTAATGTAACTAGGTAGGTTATTTGTCCTTTAATAACCTGATATTATGGGTTTTTTAAATGTCTTGAGACTAGTTTAAATAAGAGTATCGGTGCGTTTGTGGAATTTTTAAAAGCCCAAGTTATACGTAGTAGGCGCACGCGCAGTAAGCGAAAAAAACAGTCGGGACCTGAGATGAAGTGGTGGAAGCATCATTGCAGTATTTCTTTTAAGGAAAACTGTAGATTTACGCACTACTATTATCTCAATTCTCAAGAACTAAAATAATGTTTTTATTTAAGTTTCATTAGAACCAAATTATAGGTTTCGTGTCAATGTATACAAACAAAATATATGGAGGTAGTTTGTGCTAAATATAATATAAATGTTTGCACATAGTTTTAAAGAGACAGATTACATCATACGTCAATCATTGTACTAGAATTGGTGGCTTTTGGGTACCGCAGCAATCTGGCAAATCTATCAAAAATAACAGATGTACGAAATCTCTAACAGTTCATTCCAGACTTTTCTTTACCAGGATAGATGGAGATAAATAGATTATGAAAACGGAGATATTTCCATATGAATGGCGGATGGCGTAGTGGTTTAAGCGGTCGCCACGCCGCTTACTACTACGCCGAGTGTTGTGGGTCCGATCCCTACATGGGACGACACTTTGTGTGATCCATAAATTGTTGTTCTGAGTCTGGGTGTTCTTTGTGTCCGTTTCATGTATGTTTGTAAAGTCCCCCGCGACACAGGATATATTCCTAATGCGGGAGTTATCTTTAAAAAAAAAACAAAAACGCGGTATTTCTTCTGCTGTAAAAATAATAGAGCTGCGAAGTACCCAATCTTCTGTTAGTTTCTCAAGGCAGGCACTTGTTGTAGAAGAAACACCCGAGAGTAAGAAAGAGAGGTACTAAGACTTCATTAAAAATTTTTATGTAAAGTAATTGTTTCTTTTTTAGAAATAAAAAGAAAAATAATTTTTGGTGTCATTTCACCGAGTGAGTCAAGTTACGGGGGGCCCAACCCTAGGACTGTCACTTGAGTTATAGGCGTCTTTGAGCGGCGGTATTCACTTCCCATCAGTTGACTCCGCTCTTTTGCGCCTATGCCAATAAAAAAAAAAAAATCTTATCCATGCAATCCTGGATATACATCCAATGTTGCATGTCTAGTAAACTCTTGTACTTTTGCAATCTCATTTTTAACCTCAAAAGTTTTGTAAAATTTAATAAAGGTTTGTGAAATTTAATAAAGGTTTTGTTATTATTATAATAATAAAACCTTTATTAAATTTCACAAAATTAGTTTCTACTGTCTAGTTGAAATACATCGAAGAACTTTAATGAAACAAGGGGCGGGTTGCCTCTGACTCTAAAAGTGGTTGAGAAATGTCTGATATGAAATGAAATCTTATATGCGACCGATCCTAAACGAAGAGCCCTTACCACACTTTCTGTAAAAGCAATAGTTTTATTAATATTAACAAAATAACCTTAAAATTTCCATGAATAATTCGTGTTGTCATGTTCAAACAATTGGGTATAATGGCGTCATACTAGATTCCCAAACGCAAAAAAAATACATACCACTTTAATTTGTAACTAAACGGCGCTAAAATAACGTATTCTTAGTAATAAGATGACAATATTTAAGCCTAATATAGACATTCCAATAATCAATTACTATCATGTTATATGGCCTTGTTAGCGAACAGATAAAAAATGATAGCGAAAATATATTTTGGACTAGATGAACTGCGTCTGCGTTCTTTAAAAATTATATATTTTTTGCCTTTTTTGTAACATTTTCCATTGATGCACTGCATGGTAAATTGCCTATAACCTTCCTGGATAAATGGGCTTTCTAAAAAAGAATTATCAATTCGAACTAGTAGTTCCTGAAAGTAGCCCGTTCAAGCAAACAAACAATCTATTCAGCTTCATAATTATGAATCATGAGATGAACGCGTGTATTTTTTTGTGCGTGAGAATACCCCTCTGACCATCTACCACGATTCTCGGTCTGTCTGTGTCTGTGTGTGTCTGTGTGTCTGTCTGTACCTTAAACAGAAAATAAACGATTTATCCGATCCTAACTAAAACCATTAGTTATCTTCCTCTTCCGAGCCTTTTTCCCAAACTAGGTTGGGTCGGCTTTAACTTGGATCTTTTACGCGGAGCAACTGACGACTACCGACGTGAATCCACTCCTAAAACAAGCAATTTAGCTTAGCTGGAGGGGTTAACGGGAAAACTAGTAATTTCGGTTGCTAGTAAGCCTTTAAAAAAATATATTGTTAAGAATGGTCAGCTAATTGGTGTAAAAAAACAAAATATTTTTCGTCGCTTATATTTCAAATTCGTCCATTGCCAAAATCCATCATATCATCATCAGCCTATCGCCGTCTACTTCTGAACGAAGGTCTACCCAAAAGAGCGCCAACTATCCCGGTCTTGAGCCAACCATCACTGCCAGCCACTTTCCTCAAGTCATTGGTCCATAGTGCCGCAACTAATATACTTATCGTGCGTTATATACTTTTATCAATTGGTGAAACAATACTATCTGACAACAGCAAAAGCTAATTACATAATTGTAAGCCTTTAGTACGTGCGTTGCTGGATCTGTATTTACAATCTGGCGAAAATTGTCGTCCTCTATTCTGCACAAATATATTGAAAAAAAATGATTGTCTGAGACATATTACGGAAAATTTTCTGGCCCCAGACTAATAATAACAATAATAAAATTTATTTCAATAGAATGTACAATGCTTAATATAGAACAGATATAAAAATACACTTTAAACACAGAATACACGTTGCAATAACAACAATATCTAGTAATTTAAATAATTCGTTGTGCAGTGGCAAGATGATTGCACACAGGTTCCCAGACTGAGTAATTCTCGTATTCTGAGAACCTGTGGGTTCTCTCTCTGCTGAAATTATAATGTGTTGCCATCTGCCAATTAGTCCAATTACAACAGGATATTTATATTCTCTCATATTCTATAACTTTGTAAATATACGTGTTTACTACCTAATAACATTTATTAGTTTTTCTGTTTCATCGTAGGTTAAGATTTGTAACGAATTATTTAATTTTAGTTTAATGTTATGTTTGATTAGGGCAGATATTGGTATTTTTTTATTTATATTGTTTTATAATCGTGTGCTCAGGACTTTCTGTTGCCTCCGTGAGAAAGCCGTTCCACTTTTTACTGGTTGGCAAACAATGGCACCTCGCCTTTTTTTTACGGTATCAGGATTTATAGAAAGTTGTGATTGTTGCCTAAGTACGGTACGGGGTATAAATAGTTGACTACAGATAGAGTATTCGTTTCGTTGGTTCTTAAATCTACAGTCCAACAATGATTGTTTATCTTTGATGACGATATTCTGAAGCATTCCCAAAACATAGAGCCACAGTTAGAAATTAACATATTTCACTCTCTATTTAGTATTTTTCGATAACCTTATGTTACCTGCACAGTACAGTAACGTACATTTGTGGACTGGGTGGTCTATTTAGCCCAATTTCAGAGTATAGACCGACGACTCACCCACAGTTAAGTGCTTACGATTGGTAATAGGTACAATTAAATAATCTCGACGCCCACTGATGTTTCTGTAAGTCAGGGTTTAACTAAAGTCTGTCATTGTCTATCTACTCATCAAACAATTCTCTAAATTTTAAACTATTTTAATGAGTTTAGAGTCTGAGGTCTTAAAGACACATCGGTGAGGCTGAATTAATTCATAGTGCTGTGACAATAAACCGGAAAACTCAAGACCATAAGATGAAAGAAGGGTTTCATCTCCTAATTAACCTTTACCCAGAAACATGCTGACATCAGTAATCATCAGTTATATTATAGTAGAGAAAATCCGATTAATCACGGCTGGTCACTCCGGGATGTTCCTCGGTCGGGGTCCAGGGCTCTAGAAGCCGCCGATGGAGCTCCTCCCTAATGCCGAGGTAGGCTGCCGCGGGGTTTAGAGTGTAGACCGGTTCTCTGAGAGTCCCACACACGCTTTCCGTTTCCCCAACGGAAGGTATAGTGCGAAAAGCAATCTCCGCGTAAAAAAAAGGATGCGCCTTAGTTACTTCCTCTGGAAGCCTGCTGCTATGATTTTCTTCATTAGTCATCTGTTTATCTGTCATAAAGATAGTAGCAGGAACCTGTAACCATTGTAATGACAAAATCTGACCTGGAGAGAGGGCCTTTATTCCCAATGCATTAACACATCATTTATAAAATATTTAGTCATTTAATGTTTGGTCCTGACTAATCTAGTTTAAGTTAGTCCAGTTATGAAGTCAAATATTTATAAAAAGCATTGACCTAAATTTTATTTAAATGTTTGGGTTCGAGGTTGTTTTAGTAGTTGGTGAATCACACAATATATGTATATTATGACTGTCGTATTATGAACTGTACTACCAAGCCTTTGTCTTCACACCACAGGTTGGTATAATAATAACCTATCAAAAGCATAACACAAGTATTATTAAGTTAGTTAAGCATAAGTCACAACGCAAGGCAAAGTAAGAAAACTCTGACTTTCAGTAGGTTTTAATTGAATGAAATTTTTGAATACACTTTGTTATGTTGTGCCCTATTGTTCATTGCAAATTAATAGAAACTGGAATAAAAAACAATAGTGTGTGTATCTCTTTTAATTAAGTTGTTATTATGTTACATGAATTGCAGTATGTGAGTGTACGTATGATCTGGGTCTGGGTTAAAATATATATAAAAAAAAATATAATATATATATTTAAAGAAAATAAATAAATAAATATATCTGGGTCTTTCAATATTATCTGGGTATTTCGTATTTCGTTTGTTTTCAATTTGTTTATTTGAAATTGAATTGTATAGTATTTAATTTGTGTAAGTATGTAAATGTGAGTATAGTGTAGGCTTGTAATACGAGTATTAGTTCATATTTTAGTAACTTTCTGGTGGTTTTGAGTGTTTAAACGGCCCACGTGGGCCGGGTTGTTGATATTGACTATATCGGTTAGGCTATGGCTGGGGCTCGTACGCTGTCTGTATAGACGGGCCGACTCAATACTATGGTCCTTTCTTCACAAGACCAACCCAGACCCTATATTGCACTCACATAGTTCTCTTTAACATTGTACACGGACTTAAAAAAATAGACACCTCTGTGGTTTGTTCCCAGAGCGAGTCTTAGGAAATGCCTGAAAAAAAAAAACATCTGAAAAGATTTACTTGCAGAAATAAATATAATTTGATCATTTCATTTCACTATTGTAGCCAATGTTCCTTCATCTGCCTAGTTTAGGATCAGAAGGCCACATGTAAGGTGTTAAAAATATTAATATTATATCATTTTGATAGACGGACCATACAAAAAGTTGTTTGTCAAATCGGATTTCAAACGCCTAAAACCAAGTAGTGTTAAATTATCGGGTCTTGTGGATGAAGTGTCGGTCGAATAGTATTGCGGTTATTGATATTTAGTTATTCATTTAATTTGACAGTTCTATGTATCTCGAATAGAAATGCTTTGATAGAGATAGAGATAGACGGGAAGTTAATCCAAAGGTTTATTTATCTACAGCATAACATTACTTGAAATTGAATTCTGTAGGCTTTTGGGAATTGGATTTCAATTTTGATTGTGAAACAGTGTTAGGTTTTCGTTTAAATGCTGCAAATAGTTTATTGGTGTCTGTTAAAATAGTTTTTTTTTTATATATAGTAAAAGTACCCAAAGATTTCTTACCTAATTTTCTTTTTTTTTTTTAGAAGAGGCATTACGTTTTAAACTGTTTGTTCTCAGGTGGTGTAGCAAGTGCTTTCTTCTGGGGTATCGTAGGTGATGTATTCGGCAGAAGGAACTGCCTCAGCATGACATTACTGCTAGATGCTGCCATCACACTAGCGCAGAGCACAGTTCCTGACTACAGGCTTTTGTTAGCTGCTAGAACTATTAATGGATTTATTATTGGTAAGTCGTGGTATATTTTAATCCTTTTTGTTCTTTATTCTTCTTTATCATAAGCTTCAATGTAACATGTATTTTAATACAGTTCTTGTCACACTGAACTGCCTGATTTCCTTGATGAGACGAAGTCATCTGGCTTGTCTCCAAACTAGAGATAACTCTCGCAATATTTGTTTAGGTAATTTTTATAATTTTACATGTTTGTCTATCTATTCTGTTGAACCAGAGGTCTTGGATTCGATTCCTACCTAGGACAATTAAAATTGTAATACGAACTCGACCATCTGTTTTATTGTTTGGTTTTAATTAATTTGTCATATGTATAAATTTAATTAGGTATTTATGTATGAGTATGTTTATTAGCAGTCTGGTTACCATCATGCAGGTAGTTTAGGGTCAGAAGGCTATATGTTTTAAAGGAAACAAAATAATGATATATATTTTTAATCTTCTGCAACAGGTGGACCAGCAACATTGGTGTTCTCATACTTGTCAGACCTGGTTGGAGCCAAGAAACGGCAGCTCTACTTGAACGTCGTAGGAATGAGCTTCATTGTCGCTTGGCTTCTATTACCTGGTGAGGAATTTTTTGGTCACTTTGCTTGACATGGAAAACTACTAGGAGAAAAAGCTGTAATAAATTCTGATACTATCGAAGCTATAGAGGTCTCGGATTCAATTCCCGGGTCAGACCAAGTGATTGTTTCGGAGTTTGGGTGTGTTCTTTGTGTATTATATTAATGTCTTTAAAAGTATATAAGTATTCTATCAGTCAATCTAGCTTCATAGTACAAGCTCTGCTTAGTTTGAAACTAGAAGGCGTTGTGTGTCAGATATCTGAAAATATTATTAGTATTATAAATATTGCTAAAGAAATGTCGGTTAATTAATGAGAGTACCTGGATACTAAATAAAAGTCTTTTTAGCTTTAGGAGCAATAGTTCTGTTAATGGATAATGACCTTGAAAATTATTTGAAAACACCGACATTGTTTATGCTCACACTAAAAAAAAAAACAACACATGGGGAACGTACTGTCATTGCAAATTCCTCCTTTAGACGTTCAAAATTTATAATATTCCGAAATGGTCATGATTTTTCTTCTGATGCAACGAGCAGACATGTCCTTGGGAAGGGGGGCGGTTATTGTATGCCTTTCTTGTGCATAGTATATGAAAATTTATTGAGGTTTTTAATAGTTATTTCCAATAACCGTTTCATTAGTCGAACTCCTAGAGTATCTTTTGAGAAGTTCTGTCTTCTCTTAGTGCTATTGCTATAAAAATATATTAAGGAGCCTTGCACAAAGAATAAGTTAAGCCGTGTTATACATTATTTCCTTATAGGTCACTTAATAAAACAACATTCAATATTTCTATTCCCACTTTTTTTTTTTTTTTGGCTTTAGGCTCCGGTAACTTCATTCACTCGGTGAAAGGAATAAAAGAAATACTTACACCGGTTTTCTGTGAGGCCGTGGTACAACTCCGGTCGAGCCTGGCCCATATGTGCAGAGATTGTTCTGTAAACGAGTAATTGTTCTGTGTCTGGGCGTAACTTATCTATAACATATATATTATTAGAAATATTTGACTTCACGGATGGCGTAGTGGTTTGGGCGGTCACCACGCCGCTTCCTACTACGCCGAGTGGTTGTGGTTTCGATCCCCACATGGGACACCACTTTGTGTGATTCACAAATTGCTGTTCTGAGTCTGGGTTTTCTTTGTGTCCGTTTCATGTATGTTTGTAAAAGACCTCCGTGACACCTGATATATATTCCTAATGCGGGAGTCGTCTTTTAAAATATATATATATATATATATATATGTATGTTTCTCAGCAGTCTGGTTACCATAGTACAGGTTCTGCCTAGTTTGCAATCAGACGGCCGTGTGTGATACGTGTTAAGTTAGGGGCGTAAAAATATGTTTCTGACATAGATACGGAAGAAAAAATAACCATAATGTACTGTTTAGGCTCCAGTGACCCGAGCCACGCACGTGAACACGTGCTTCCATTAAACAACTTTGTCATCATTTTCCCAAATGGATTCAATTTGTATGGATTTGTTACCAAATCACTGAAGTATTTCCTCCATTATGTTTGCGCTGTCATCTGAAAATACATTGTGTTTCGGTTTGTTATGAGCGGTTTTAACTTTAATTTTAGATGTTAGTCTATGATTACCATTACTATCAATGGTCTGGTTTATTAACTTATTATTAAGCGTATTACAAATAAATAGTTAATTTGGTTTAGACTAGTCAGTAGGTCAGGGCAGGTAAGATCTCATTTTGTCCAAAAAATTATGTGCTGTAATAGTTGTTTTTTAGAATTTTAGAAAAATATTGGGGTTGATATACAGCGGCTGCCGCTTTTAATGAATGGTTAGGGTTAATAATTTTTAATATAGTAACACGTGCGACATTTAAATTTTTATATATGTAATTGTGAAGAACAAAACTAAAAGATTGTTCTTATTTAAATATACTGAACTTATTATCTTAACGAATTCTTATCAAAAAATGCGGAACTCTGAAATTTTAATTTGGATTTGCTGATTTTTAACCGACTTCTTCATATACAACTATAGTTAAACCGCCGTAAGCTTGGCCCTCCTGATGGTTTGGGGGACGTGGGGCGGGGGTGCATTCAACCAATTAGCTAGTGCGTCGCTGTCCGCCGGCAGTGACTGACGTGAAAGTGTGGCTGTACGTGTTATTTTTCTTAAGACTGCTACACACGGTATTATTTTGCAACATGGATAATCTGCCGACTCTGCGTCACAAAAAGATTTAAAAACTTGAAGTTCGGCTTACAGAGGTTCTACTGTTAAAGTTCTAATAAAGAATATTTATTATTTAACTTAATTTTTAAATTGTATCTGAATATAATTTATATGATGAAGATAAGGTGACTTTATTAAAATTATTTTACAGTATTAAATTTTACAATTAATCATAAAAACTTACAATACACTGACATTATAATACATGGAAATAAATTCGATTTTTATTACATCGTGTGTAGATTAAATCTCAAACAAATAAATCTGAAGATATCGAGTTAGTACATCGTGTCATGTATAGCCGAGCACATCACCCGTCCCGCAAACCATCAGGAGGGCCAAGCTTACGGCGGTTTAACTATAGCTGGTCATAAATTATAGGGAATTTAAACACCGTCGTTTGTTTTTAAATTTCACTTATATCTATACTTTTTGTAAACCAGCTGACCCGCGCAACTGCGTCTGAGTGGGAGGCTCTAAGGAACAAATTTCCCCGTTTTTTCATTGATGGTCGCCTCCTATTGATCGTAACATGATGGTATATAATAAACTTTTTAACTTTAACCTTTTTCGATTATGGGCTATACAACATTTAAAAAAAAAAACGAACTAGAAACAAACCTTCTAGCTTTAAAATATTAAAATAGATACGCAAATAATTCACTTAGTACGCATTTTTAAGAAATGTTGCTATTGTTAAAAATTGTAATATTTAATGATGCTCACATAAAAGAAGTAGACTCTGTCAAGAATGAGAGAGAATGTGAATGAGACAAGAAGAAGTGACCTGTGCACAGGCTCTGCCTAGTGTGGTATCAGACGGCCGTGTGTAAGATGTGTGATATATATATATATCTTCTACCATATATATATATATATATATATGGTAGAAGAGCCATGCTTCGAGTCGCTTCTTCCAGATTGATACCGCATTTAGACAGACAGCCGCTGTTAAGTTATTTGACCTTACTTTTCACCGAGTGAGTGACATGATCGGACCCCCCCCCCCAACTAACTCTTGAGTTGCGACACGTGATGAATGAGGGTTAATAAAATAAAATAAAATTATTTTTTATTTCAGCTGTCGCTTGGCTGGTTATCCCGTTTAACATACCTGACCATCCCACTATACTCCCCATCTACTCCTGGAGATTGCTCCTGGCTCTGGGCAGTATACCTGGATTCATTGCCGGAGCCTGGCTGATGTGTCTGCCAGAGAGTCCACGGCTGCTTTCCGACACGAACAGAGAAGACAAGGCCTTGAAGGCGCTGGCATATATCTACAAGGCTAATCACGGAAAGAATTCAGAATTTAAAGTGAGTGCTTTGTTTTTTTCTATGAGTATAAACATAGCACACACCTGTGTAGGACTTCTGATTTGATATCTTCATAACGGCCATGTGACATTACATTAAATTACATAACGTACATAATTTTTTATTTTCACACACATCTCTGAAAACTATGAATAATAGAGATAAAAAAATATTCTAATTGATACTTTGTTTTATCTTGTAAGTAAGACAACACTCAGCAAATATTTGTAAAACATGTTTGTAAACTATGTATTATAAGTGTATGTTTTATAAGTTGTCCTAAATAAATAAATCCTGCAAGATACATTAACTAAAAACGTAACAAAAACATTTATAAAAGAATTTTGTACTAAAGACATTTGTACTAAATGACCTTAATTTCTAATCAGAAATTTTACACTGATTACGTGTACTTAAAATTGGCCTATGATTAGTTCCTTATTAACCACCGGAAATGTCCAAATAAAGGGCGAACCTAATGTCTCTTCCTGTTCCTATTAATTCTATTGGTTCACGACAATTATGTTTGCTGAGCACAGAGTTACTGCTTTTGAAGAACCGCGCAAGGTATATAAGGCATTAGAAAATGTTTTTAATTTCGTATTTGGTTAGGTAGAGGGCAACACAGCAGACAGTGGAGGTGAGTACTGGCACGTCGCAAAGAGTACTCCCTAAACCTACACCCGGACCTCAAGTCTCAGGCGCTGTCACAGTCGCATATGTTGCCCCAATCTACCAAATAATGGACGCCGTACCCGCAAGGTGAATCCATTAAAGGCTCTTAGCCTTTAAATAGGTCAAATATAAGTTCAAAAAATTAAAATCGGTCCAGGCGTTATAAATAGTTTACCTAACCCGTGTTTGTTTAATTTATTAAGATTATAATTTATTCGGTAATTTTAAGTGTCTAAGGTTTCCTAATTTAGAACTTAATCGTTACAGATAAAGAAATTGGTCCAAGAAGAGATCTTCGTAGCCAAGACCCTGGGTGGTGAAGAAAACAGGACAAAGGATTTGTTTCTAAACGTTCTGAGAGACCTCAAGGTCTTTGTTTCAAAGAGATATGCAATGAAGTCGACACTAATACTATTCATTTTCTTCGCTAACATGGCTGCGTAAGTATCATGAAGAGGCTTTTAATATTGGTTGAAACGGGAATGGCGGGGGACAGTGATCTTGGGAATATTAAACTATTTTTTGACGTGACAACGTCTTATAATTCGATGGAGCCGGCTGCACGCACGAAAAAACATGACTCATGCGGCGTTACCTCGCTCTGAGGCGTTCCATTTAAGGCGTGAAGTGCAAGCGAGAGCGCGGAACGAGTGACAAAGAGGCACAATCGGCCTCCGCGTTCGGCAGCGTTCGACATCTGTCTCTCTCCTACTTGAGTGAGCGATGCGTCCGCGTGGACAGCTGCTACTCGTATACAATAATACATTTTTGAAAAATGCAACCATTCCATCAGTATTTTCTTATGACGTTGTCACGTTCAACTATCGTCAGTAAACCGACTTTACAGACAACCGATTTTTTACCAATTGTTCATAAAAAAGACTCCCGCTTAGGGACACTTGGATAATTGGTACTCCTCTTGTGCGCTTTTCAAGACACTTTTTGCTTCTCCCGACCAATCTGTGGAACAAGTTTTAGTTTGCGGTATTTCCGGACCGATACGACCTTCAAACCTTCAAGAAAAGAGCGTACTCCTTCCTCAAAGGCTGGCAACGCGCTTGTGATTCCTGAGTTGCAGACGTTCATGAGCAGCGGTGGTAGCTTCCATCAGATGACGAGTCTGCTCGTTTGCCCTTTCTTCCATAGAATAAAAAATCTCGAAAGTCACGAATTCGTTGCGCCTTTTAATCCAGAAACCTTTCCTAGAAACCGGGGAAAGGGATTTTTTTATCAAGATTTCATCACAGATAATATACATCTTTATCTTTTATGTCTATAATTTTACAGTGGTTAATCAAATTGATAATATCATTCTTATACTTATTTTAAAGCAAAAATCACAATCTTTTTTAATAATTTTAACTTGTACTTAATCATTATTAATAGTTTTCTCTCATTTTCAGCGGATTTGGTCTAAATATGTGGATTCCTGAACTTCTCCAACGCATTCAAGGAACACAATGCAATAGTCTGACAGTCACAACATTACAACCAGAGACCTCTAAGCTGATCAATACTACCACAATTTGGAAGAACCCAAAGTATGATTCGTACGGTAAAAGAATTCCAGCGGCAGGCTTCAATGATAGCAGTTATGAAGACCATGGAAGCACCTGCAATCCTAATATTGATTCAAAAGTAAGTGAAATTTGTATTCAGTATCTTTGTTCCATTTCTAATCGTAAATCATTGTAATGATTAACATAATGATTGCTGTATAATGAAAATCATTGTGCCTATCAAATCTAATGTTAACTTATCAAAACTTTGTATCTTTACATAGTACTCGTATAAAATAAAGTCGCTTTTTTGTGTTATACGCTTATATCTTTTAAACTAAGCAATGTATTTTAATGCGGTTTTCACCAATAGAGAGAGTGATTAAAGAGGAAGGTTTATATGTATCATCAATCATCATCAATAGCCTATACTAGTCCACTGCTGGACATAGGCCTCTCCTTAGAAAGGAGGTTTTGGCCTACTATACCACGCTGGCCAGACGGGTTGGTATACGGTTTGTTTCAAGTCTTCCTTCTCTTTGCAGTGCTGTTGTCCTGCTTAGTTTGCTCCCTTAGTCGGCTCTTACGACACCCACGGGATGAATTGGGGTGGTGACAATTTGTATTCTTAATCCATCACCACACGGATACGCACATGTATAATACATGCATATTATAGTAGAGGACATCCGAGAATTTCAAAGATTACATTACTTACATTGCAAACGCTGGCTAAATCTTACGAGATAGACCAAAATAATGTAGGTACTACGGAATTGTATATCTTAAAGAGACTAAAAATTCCGCGATGGTATATATCTCTATCTTTTAATTATAACCTAGAGTAACCATAAATTTACTTTTAAATATTACAAAATAATAATAATAAAATACGTTACGATACGATAAGTTGTGTTGTATTTAAAGATGTCCTGTAGTATAGTCCTATAATAATAATAGTATAATTAATTACTCCACACTGACATCACATTAGTAATATTAGTAGTATCTATGTTGCACCCGTGCGATGCCGGTACGGATCGCTAGTAAGTGATATATTTTAGTTGGGGTACATCTTCGACATGTCTAACATCTTCTAAGTGTCATGTGGGGTTTGAACTGACAACATTCGGCGTAGTACCGCTTAAACCACTACGCCGTCCGTGCAGTCGCATTTCATATGTATACTTTTATTACATTTTATATTTTGTAGATTACACCCTCTTTAAGTTGCATTAATGTTCCGGAGAGGTAAATTACACTGAGACACAGAAAAATTGCTGTTCCCATCACAGTATTTATCCCGGGCCTCAATTCTGTTATTTTATGTTCACGCCAAGCCACTGTCATACCACTGACACGCTATTGAGATGCCATCGAGTGGCCATTGGCATTGGTATAAATATCGGTAGTCTACACTAACTCAGTGTGTATACAGTGGCGATGGAATGGCAGTGGCTCATCAGTGGTGATATCAAAAAAATTGCCATATTTGGAAAAAAAAAAAATCATTTCCTCAAAAAAACGTAATACATTTTCAAATTATAAGGAAATGATTTATTTATTTTGCCAAATATGTCAATTTTCCCCGGTCGACCGAACTCACAAGTGTGTAAAACCAACTATTGTTTTATAGTTAGGATCACTAGACACAAGACAAATAGGGACATTTAAAATGTCTGAATTTTTGTTTTAGGTTTATACGTCAGGACTGATAGTGGGCGCGTGCTGCGTGCTGGGTAGCGCTGCGTGCGGCGTGCTGTGTGCTCGTGGCGGCGCGCTGGGAGTACGACGTGCGGCGGTGGCGTGCACGGCCGTGTGTGCACTAGCTGCTATATGCCTCGCTGCCACCGCGTGCCCGTGCTCTCGATTCGGCAACATAGCTGTTGCAGCCGCTGCTGCACTCAACGCTGCATCTCTTAACGGGAATGTATTGCTGATTAGGTTGCTGTTGCATGCACTACCAGCTAAGTTGAGGTAAATTCACACATTTTTATTGGAACGAAGTTCCGTATCGCGCGTTGTGAAAGGGGGCTAGACGGAAAAAATTCTCACGAAAAGTTGTAACGACACTTTTATGTCAGTCATTCAGCGCCATCTATCGAATAGATAGGAAATCATTACTTTTCATCTCAGTATTTATTTTGAATTGTCACTTGTCAGTCATTCAGCGCCATCTATCGAATAGATAGGAAATCATTTCTCAAGGAGATTTTACTAAAAAATCGTGTCGAATCAGTTTTACTCGATCGTCACAACTTCGTTCCTATCGGGTGTCCCACGACACCACACGGCTTTTTCTTGTTTTCTTTTTTAAATAGATATCTAACACACAACGCCATCTAGTTTTAAACTAAGCAGAACTTGTACTATGAAAGCTAAATTGACTAATAGAATACTTTTTGTTTTGTAAATACATACATATTATACATAGAAAACCCCCAAACTCCGAAACAAATATTTGCAGACCACACAAATATTTAATCTGACCAGGGTATCGAACCCGAAACATCAGAACAGCAGCCGCATACGCTATCACTGCGCCACCGAGGCACTCGGCGTAGTATTAAAGTAAAAATGAAATGAAAGTCTACATCCTTTCGGTACTATTTACTTCTAAACGAATAAATCAAAATGACGGAGTGGTTGTGTATGTTAAAAGCAATATAAGTAACATCAATGTGACAGAAATCGATTTTGCCGATGCCAGTTGTCTCCAAATAAGAATTGGAGAGAGTACCTGTATTTTTGCAATATATAGGTCACCATCTTTTAAAGATATCTCCAACTTTCTTTGCTCTTTAGACCAAGTACTTACCCTAAATTCTTCTTACAAAAATGTAACGGTCATCGGTGACATTAATATTGACATTTCAGATGGGAACATAGACAACACAGCATCAGATTATTTAACTCTGAACGCTAGTCATGGTCTACTTGCTGCCCATAACTTAGTTACTCGTCATAATAAAACCTGTCTTGACCATGTCTTTCTAAAAACAAAACTTAAAGCTAGAACTATTGTTATAGATTCTACTGTTACGGACCATAACGCTGTTTTACTAACACTAGAAAAGGTCAAAATCGACAACGCACACAAAACTTTAAATAAAACCGATTATGTTGAATTGGAAAACCATCTGAAAAATAGTGAACTTTCCTATATATACGAATGTACTGACGCAAATGTTGCGCTTAAATATTTTATTGATATAGTTGCCAGAGCTATACAACTGAGTACTTCAGCCTATAGTGTGCCGCATCGTTTGAAAATCACCAAACCATGAACCAGGCGTTTTAAGGTGTATGCGCAACAGGGATAGGATGTATTTGAAAATGAAAAAATCGCCAAACAACGATGCCATTAAGATAACCTACAAAAGATACCGGAATTATTGCAGCAATATCTTAAAAAGCCTGAAAAGACAGTATGAGAGGAAGGAATTAAATAAAGCTTCAACTAATCCCAAGAAGATGTGGCAGGTAATTAGAGACGTAACTAATACCAATAAAACAAAAGTTACTGCTAGTCCATTGTTAAAAATTAACGGCAGTATTGACGACTCCCTTGCGGAAATTAATAAGTTTTTTACTACGATTGGGCAAAATATAGCTAATAAAGTCTCCCAAACATATGCTAATATTCCCAGCACATCGGACATTACAGTTTCAGATGTTGCATCGGACTCTCTTGTTTTTCTGCAAACTGATGAACTGGAAGTAGAGCAGATGATACTAGACTTACGTACTGATTGTGCAACTGGTATTGATGGTATATCTGCTAAACTCATAAAACAGTTTAAGAGTATTTTTGTTCCACCTTTGACATATATTTTTAACTTATGCATAAATGCAGGTGTTTTTCCGGACCTTTTTAAGAGGGCCCTTATTCACCCTATATATAAGACGGGGGATGTAGATCGTATCAATAATTATAGACCAATATCGGTCTTGCCCTCCTTGTCCAAGATCTTGGAAAAAATCATTAACACCCGCCTTAAGAAATATCTTGAAGAAAAGGATATTATCTCCATCAATCAATACGGCTTCAGAAGTAATAGATCCACAAATGATGCAGTGCACGAACTCACTGAAAATATTGTTCAGGCATTGGATAGACGCAAGAAAAGTCTTGCAATTTTCTTGGATCTGGCTAAGGCCTTCGACACGGTCTCCATTCCCAAACTAATTCTCAAATTAGAGCGTATCGGTGTTAGGGACCAACAACTGAATCTTTTTATAAGCTATCTGACAAACCGAACACAATGTGTAAAGATTGGTAGGTACGTTAGCAGAGAACTTCCCATAGAATATGGTGTACCACAGGGAAGCATCCTTGGTCCCACACTCTTCTTAGTTTATATTAATGAAATGTGCAAATTAAAACTAACAAATGGCAAACTCTTGGCATTTGCTGATGATACCACGCTTATTTTTACGAGCCAAACGTGGGAAGAAGTTTACGATGCGGCGCAAACCGGTTTCAATAGAATAACTAAGTGGTTAGCAGAAAACACACTGGCAATTAATGTCGACAAGACTAAAATCATAAGATTCCAAATTAAAAAAAACAGTATACCAAATAGATTTTCTATTACGGCACATAACCACACTACATGCTGTTATCTGACATGCAATTGCCCTCAGTTACAAGATGTTGCTACCATTAGGTACCTAGGTGTAATTATAGACGAAAGTCTTAGTTTCGTGCCGCACATTGAACTTTTAACAGGTAGAATACGTAAACTCATCTTTATTTTCAAATACCTAAGGCATGTTGCAGAACCAAAAATCCTGAAAACAGTTTATTATGCCTTGTGCCAGTCCTTGTTGGGGTATTGTATCTTATCATGGGGTGGTGCTCTAAAGACTAAATTTATTAAGTTAGAGCGCGCACAGAGGGCTGTATTAAAAGTGTGCACCTTTAAACCATACCGCTATCCTACAAAAGAACTGTATGAGCACTGCGAAGTTCTAACAGTGCGTCAACTTTTCATTCTACAAATATTACTAAAGCAACATTCGTTAAATCTCAAATCTCATCATCTTTCGGTATCTCCGCGATCAACTTCACGCAGGCTTAAACTTCCACCAGCTGACAGGCACAGGACATCTTTTAGTCATAGATTCTTTGGCTTTCTCGGACGATTCACTTACATAAAAGTCAACAAAGTTTTAAAAATTGACTGTAAAAATAAATATGAATGCAAAAGGATTGTAACAGACTGGCTGCTAAAACTAAGCTATGATGAAACGGAAGAACTTCTTCATCCGATATTATGAATTAAAACGAAATCAAAATACAAACATAACAAAAACCCACACACTGACACCGAGATCAACAGAAACGGATCACGGAACCCAACACACGCATACACATACACACGCAACACGTGCACATACACACGCACGCACACACACACACACACACACACACACACACACACATACCTAAGTTAATTGCATGTTTTTCTTGCTTTCAAGCTATTGTAGTTTAGATTGTTCTTATTGCATCTTTATTGTTTTATAACCAGCTAAAAATGTATTTTTGTGATACTGCAGAGGTTGCTGGTACTTATAGCACAGGTTATCCTATTTTAAGTACCAGCAGAACACTATATAATGTTATTTGTGTTTGGACTATAATCTCGAAATGTCTAACCTGTATATACTAATTTGTGGCAATAAAGAATTTTTATTATTATTATTATTATTATTATTATTATTATTACTATTTTATGATGATTATTTAAGTAGTTAAGGTATCAAAGCATAACAAACCAAAAAACTGATATTCGAGTTTATAGGCGTACTCGAGACTTAGCCAGATAAGTTTATATACAACACTACTAATTTTTAATTAGTAGACTGGCAGATATCAGCCTCACTACTGAGAAAAAGGATACACGAGAAGAATATTTATTTAACAGTATCATCATCTTCGTATCAGCCATAGGACGTCCTCTGCTGGACATAGGCCTACCTCAAAAAATTCCAAAAAAGACCGCTTGACAGCAAACTCATCTATAGTCGACCTGTGATAGACTGACCTGGCTAGGATTGCTTAATCTTGCAATGTGTTGACCTAGTCGATTACCACTTAGCCACGATACCCTCGTTAACACTTAGCCACGAGCCTTCCTTTCATCCGATTTAACAATTCGACGACCGAATGGCGTAGTGGTTTGTGTAACGGACTGCTATTCCAAAGGTCGCGGGTTCGATTCGCGCATTTGTGTGCATGAACATTTAATTTGGTCTGGGTGTTTCTATGTATAATATGTATGTATTTACAAAAAAAAAGTATATATGTATTTATATCAGTTGTCTAGTACCCATAGTACAAGCTCTGCTTAGTTTGGGACTAGATGGCGTTGTGTGAATGTGGTAGAATATTATTATTATAGAATATTATAATTACATTTAATAATAAATACATAATTGTCTTTCTTCCAGTGGTCTTGGTGTGTGTTGGGGTGCCTGGTGGGGCCGAGTCGGTGGTTTGGCCACAAACTTGGCTATTGGTGTCTTACTGGATTATTCTTGTCCGGCGCCTTTCATCGCCGTAGGAGCATTACTCGCATGTAAGTATTGATTCCTAAAATGAGTTTTAAATAGGCATTGTAACATTGTAGTAGATACATATGAGTAGATCGAACTCAGTACTTATTTTTTTTAAAGCCGGTTAAAATTGGGTTCTTAAGTCGCAATAACCTAATGTATATTGACTGCACGGATGGCGTAGTGGTTTAAGCGGTCACCACGCCGCTCACTAATACGCTCAGTATTGTATGTCCGATCCCCACATGGGACGACACTTTGTGTGATCCACAAATTGTTGTTCTTAGTCTGGGTGTTCTTTGTGTCCGTTTCATGTATGTTTGTAAAGTCCCCCGCGACACAGGATATATTCCTAATGCGGGAGTTGTCTTTTTGAAATATAAAATAAATAAATAATAATAAGATCATATCGGTGTGGCGTCTTCCAAAGATAAGGAACAAACCCTTTCAACGCCATCTAACGGAGACACACCGAACTACGAAATAACTACTACTCCTACATCGCGTTACGAAAGTTCTTAGTTCTTCCCAACATCAACTTTTACAAGTCACGATCACCTTATCTAATGGAGAGGTGACTCTCTGTGTTAGAGGAATCTAGATGTTTCTGTGCTTACGAGAATTAGTTTCTGAGAAGATGAAATTCTCATAGTATAGTTTAGTGGTTAAGCGTAAAGCTTTGTTACATTTTTTTATTTCACCTTAGGAGCAAAGGAAGGGTGTTACATCCGTTAAAAATATTCGTTAGTGAAAGCAAGATGGCGACTAAAAATTTTAACTATGTAAAATCTTTGATATCATTTACTTCTAAGCGAACATTGTTGTAAGAAAGTAGTCCTGTGTTGTTTATACAATAGTATAGAATAAAACCTTTGGAAACAGAAAACATAATTGTCAATCTGCTTTTACTGATGCTATCCATCTTTTTTCAGTATCAATTGGGGTGATCATGATAATGAAATTAGAAGAAAATAAATCAGAAAGTCCGGTAGAAGAACAAGACGTCGCATCGGAGAAAAATACGGGATTAGACAGATATATATCTACGTACATGTAGTTTCATAGTAAAATTCAATACACGTATGTAATGATCGAGGAAATATTGTGATTAAGGGGTAGATGGATATCAATGCAAATAATTTTCTTTTAAATACTAGCTGGTACCCGCGACCTAGTTCGCATGGAATTTGAAAAGAGCTGCTTTCGTGGTACAGTACGGTACGGTACGGTAAATTTTATAGGGTTTTTCCTGAGCCTAAAAATAAATAGCCTAAGTTACTCATTGTGTAGATACACCTGGTAGTGAAATATTATCAAAATCGGTCCAGGCGTTTTGAAGATTACTCAAACAAACAGACAGACAGACAAAAAATATTTAAACTGGTTTTTAGACATAGGTTTAGTGCAAATAACCGTGACAGCACGAAAAAACCTATTATTTTGACATTACAAACAGACACTTCAAGTTTATTTATTTGTATAGAATTTTTGTATAAAATACTATGGTGAGACGTTATACCTAGCTATATAGCAAATAATATATATATATATAAATTATTTGAAGCTAACCATTTGAAGATAACAGTAAAAATGTTTAAGTGAAAATGAAGGACAATTTAGGCTGAACTTTAAGATGTTAAATTTTGAGGCATTATGTAGTTCAAAGTGGTTTTTTTTAGTTAGCTTTTGTTTTATGCTTAAGGAGAGATTGAGTGAAAAGTGAAAAATTGTTTTAGCAATGTGAGCGTGATATAAACTCTTACTTGGTTATTGTTTTAATTAAATTTGTTTTTGTTTGTATATGATATATGTAGATAATTAAAGTTCTGGCCTATGGCGCCGACACATGGTTAATCCATGAGCTAAAAAATTGCTCAGCATTCTTTGGACCGAGTTGTGCTTGGGCCTTCGGATAAAATCGTAATAAGGCACTAAACAAGTACAATGTAAAATAAAAGAAGCATGAGGTGGGGCAATCAGAAAATGTATTTGTTTTCAAGTTAGTGAAAACTAACCATGATAACAATGCGAAATTTTCAAATAATACTCTCATAATTTTGACGGGCCTGTGGGTCTAGTGGTTAGTGACCCTGACTGCTAACCGGAGGTCGTGGGTACGATTCCCACCCAGGACAAATATTGTGTGATGAGCACGGTCATTTGTTCTGTGTCTGGGTGTAATTTATCTATAAAATGTATGTATTTAGAAATATATATGTATGTTTATCAGCGGTCTGGTTACCATAGTACAGGCTCTGCCTAGTTTGGGATCAGACAGCCGTGTGTGAGATGTTTGAGGTCATTGTTATATTTGATCAAGCCTCTTGAACACACGAACATAATGCTCCACCGATATGTTATCGCAGCTTATTTCAATTCCAGGTCTAGCCTGGATAATAATCCCAGGCAAGTGGTCTTTTACGTTGGGCTGAGTGTGTGAGTTATATTATATTATTATTATTATAAAAGGTAATTAAGCTACCAAGCACGGTATGCTGGGAATAAACTGACTGGCAAGCACTGAAACCATACATTTTTGCCTACTACTACTATTATAAATGTGGATGAATGTTTGTTCCTAAATGTTAAGTTGGTTTGTGTATGCTTCTCAAATACTGCATCGATTAAGCTGCGACATCCGTCCGTTTTTTTTTCATTTTCTGTTATGTATCTCTAAACCAGTTCATGTCCCGGCCTAAGTCGCCTATACAGGATGAACATACGGCTTTACGTAGCCGTCTCAGTCTCAATTCATATCCGAGAATTATCATATCACATCACACACATCACTGCACGGATGGCGTAGTGGTTTAAGCGGTCGCCACGCCGCTTCCTACTGTTGAGTGTTGTGGGTTCAAACCCTACATGGGACGACACTTTGTGTGATCCACAAATTGTTGTCCTGAGTCTGGGTGTTCTTTGTGTCCGCTTCATGTATGTTTGTAAAGTCCCCCGCGACACAGGATATACTCCTAATGCGGGAGTTGTCTTTTTTAAATAAAAAAATCAACAGCCTTTAATATTCCACTTCTGGAAAAGGCCTCTCCTTAGAATTTGGCCTAACATACCACGTTGGCCAGACGGTTTGGTTTAAGTATTGTGTCGCATTTTCCTTCTCTTTTAATATCGCTTCATTGAGCTTAAACCAAAATTATATTCAGAAGGAGAATATATGATCAGCAAAACATTTTACATATTGCACCGACCCTAAATAAAATTTTAAATAGAGACCAGCTGACCCGGCAAACGTTATTTTGCCATATAGGTACATTATTTTTAGGAAATATTGAAAAAAAATATGGTTGGGTCACCCCTGTCATTAAGGGTATGAAAAATAGACGTTGGCCGATTCTCAGACCTACCCGATGTGCACACAAAATTTCATAAAAATCGGTAAAGCCATTTCGGAGGAGTATGGTAACTAACATTGTGACACGAGAATTTTATGTAAAAGATAGAAAGAATAGAGATGGGAGTTGATATATTGACTAAGCTTTATTTATATCAATGGTTTTTTAAACTAGGGGCAAAATATCAACTTCTAAACCAACATTAGTTAAATTTAAAACATTTTTTGGGCAAAGCTTTCCTCGATCATTATACATTATGTAATTTAAGTTACATGAAGTAGCATTACTCGTAGATCTCGTAATAATAGGACCATTTTGTATTTATTATAGGCAACTATACAATTGTAATATAATTATAATCTTAATTAATTAAGTGTTAATATTTAAGTTATTACAAATATTGGATGTGTTGTGACTTAAGAAAAAAGATTTCTTACTTCGAATAGAAAAAATATATTTTATTTCATATAATACTCTTTAGACGTAACGATTCATGATTTCTCAATGAATTTGTGAGAAAGAATATTTCTTTAAATAACGTAATTATTTGGAAAAAATACCACAAATTGTTATTGATATTTGTTTTGGTACGAATATTTTATTATAATATTGACAGTTTTGGAATTTTATTGCATGTTGATAAATTGAGTTATACTATAAATCAATTTAACAAAAAAGGGAATAAGCAAATAATATAGAAAGTGTATGTATATAAGTCAATAACAAAATATATTTGATGTGTAACACCTTTCTGTTCATCAATTTGTTGAAGTTATTAATTAAATCGTAAAAAAGATATGCCCAATGAACGCGCTTGGTACTGTAGAGCGAGTAGAATTCGCGACTCCATGGGTGGCTTTAAGCGGTCACCTCGCCGGTTAGACTTTGTATGCTACAAATTGTTGTTCTGAGTCTGGGTGTTTTTTGTGTCCGTTACATATATGTTTGTAATGCTCTTCGCGACCCAGGATATATTCCTAGTGTTTGAGTTGTTTTCTTTAACACCTCTCTGTTCATTAATCTGTGGAAGTTATTAATTAAAGTGTAAAAATATCTGTCCAATGAACGCGCTTGGTACTGTATGTAGAGCGAGTAGAATTCGCGATTGCACGGGTGCCTTTAAGCGGTCACCTCGCCGGTTAGACTTTGTATGCTACAAATTGTTGTTCTGAGTCTGGGTGTTTATTGTGTCCGTTACATGTATGTTTGTAATATTTCTCGCGACACAGGATATATTCCTAGTGCTTGAGTTGTTTTCTTTAACACCTTTCTGTTCATCAATCTGTGGCAGTTATTAATTAAATCGTAAAAAAGATATGTCCAATGAACGCGCTTGGAACTGTAGAGCGAGTACTCGTAGAATTCGTGACTGCACGGGTGGCTTTAAGCGGTCACCTCGCCGGTTAGACTTTGTATGCTACAAATTGTTGTTCTGAGTCTGGGTGTTTTTTGTGTCCGTTTCATGTATGTTTGTAATGTTCCTCGCGACACAGGATATATTCCTAGCGCGGTAGTTGTTTTAAAAGAAGGAAAGAAAGTAGTTTACCGTGATGTTAAATGTACATCATATCCGACTACTGTTAAGCTCGTTTTTTCATCGTAACTTATTGTGGATGGATGTGGTATTTTATCTTTTTCGTTAAATAATATTTTATAGCTAGGATGTAAAAATATTTTACCTAGTTTCATTATTTAATTTACTTCGACTTCTATAAAGGCTGAGCTAGACAACGGGCGGAACGGGACCGTGTTGCGACATTATTAGGCTGTTAATAAATGTAAAAAATATCACACAGCCGTCACGTTTGCCGCTCGCTGTAAGTGCGTTTTCATAGTTTCGCCGTCGTTGTCCTGCCACACTCCTGTCTGCTTCAACCTGTTCAGCCAGCAAAAGTATTTTTTTATTAATTTCAATACTAAGCAGAGCTTGCTCTATGAAAGCTAGATTGACTGATAGAATACTTATACACTTTTTTTGTGAATACATACATATTATACATAGAAAACACCCAAACTCCGAAACAAATATTTTCCAGATCATACAAACATTTGGTCCGACCCGGGAATCGAACCCAAGACCTCAGCATAGCAGTCACATAAACTACCACTGCGCCATCGAGGCAGTCCAAAGTGGCCATATTTGTTTAATTTTCGCTGTTTAGTATCATATTTAGTTAGTAATTATTAAGTTTAAAAAAGCATCAGAGATCTTAATGCGTATTAAGAATGACATGATTGTAACTAGCTGTATTCACACTAAGGTCCAGAATATTTTCTTAAAATCTGAATGGGACCAAACTTGAATAAAACCGATTCAATTGAAAATTAGTGTTTTATGTTCACTTCACAAACGATTCAATAGATTTGAGAATCATTTTCAAGTCGGTTATACACAGAAAAGAGTGGTTGAATTTTAGAAATGTAATCTATAAATATATAGGTTACAGAAAATATGATGATTAAACTGGTAGAGAAAAGAATCATTCCTTGAAGAAAAGAGTATACTCCCACTTTAAAGACGGCAACGTCGTTATAGACACCTGGACATCTGCAACTCAAGAGATACAAATGCATTGCCACACTTTTTAAGGCACCCCTCCCCCGTCAATTGTTTTCTGAGGCCTCACTGCAGGTTTACTTCACGTCTACTCAAGCACTCGGCCCTCCATCATTTCCTTAAAACCGGTTTCCTGTTAGGCCGTGGTAT